TTACCTCCTGTTTCTGCCTGATTGTTCTCACCTGTTGCTCGTTACCCTTAGCTTGTCTTGTGTATTTAGTCCACGTCTGTTAGTTTCCCCAGTTCTGTCATTGACATTGTCCGACGTAGTGCTTGGTCCTGTCCCTGTCTACCCGTCTGAGAACAATAAACCTCGTTTGCCTGTCAGTCCGGCTCAGCCTGCCTACTTTCCTGCTTGCCTGCACCGCGAACGTAACAGTAATGACAAAGGAAGGATAGGCTAAGTCCTTCAAACCTGAATGTCTTTTAAGATGCATTTGCTTTGCAGTCGTGACGTGGTGATATTCAAGTTCTGGTTTGCAATACTGGCAGACATCTGCATTCTCGATCATTTTTAACATGAAGTGCTTCCACATAAATGATGCTTTTACTCTTTATTTGGATTCAAGACTCCCTGCTCTACACGCTCTACACCTACAACTGTGTTGCCTTCAACAGCTCCAACACCATTGTGAAGCTTGCGGATGACAGTGGTAATTGGATTCATCACCAACAACGATGAGTCAGCCTATTTGAGGGAGGTGGAGAACCTGTCGGTATGGTGTAGGTCCAACTGCCTCAGTCTGAACGTCAGTAAAACTAAAGAGCTGATAGTGGACTACAGCAAGAAGAAGCAGCGCTCCTTCTCACCCCTCCAGATCAACAGTGTTCCAGTGGAAAGGGTTGACAACATCAAATACCTTGGGGTTCTGCTCACTGAGCACCTCACTTGGCACTCTGGTCCCCAGAGTGAGGAAGCGGCTGTACCACCTGAGGCAGCTGAGGAGATTTAGGGTCACTCCAGTGATCCTAAAAACCTTCTACTCAGCTGCTGTGGAGAACATCTTGACCATGAACATTACGGTATGGTTTGGGAACTGTTCTCTAAAGGACCGCAAAGCCCTGCAGAGGGTGATAAGGGCGGCCGAGCGTCGTGTCAGATCTCCTCTGCCCTCCCTGCTGGACACCTACAATAAACGCTGCAGGTCCAGAAGTACAAAGATAATCAAGGACTCCTTACACCCCACAAACTGCCTGTTCCACAGGCTGAACTCAGGCAGACGGTTCGGTTGCCTAATGTCCAGGACAGAGAGACTCAGGAAGAGTTTTTTCCCCCAGGCCATAAGGCTTCTCAATTTAAACTAATTCTGGTCCTTCTGTACACTATGTACGTTTGTACTGGAATGCTTATATACTGCACATGTTCACTTTACTGTACAGATAACTTTAGTCTGTACATCCTCGCCATTGCACTATATTTTAGATTGTATATTTGGATTGTATATTTTAGATTATATACTTGGTTCCATAGATTGTATTTATATATTGTAATTTTCTTTTTTACTCCTACTTTACTTCTTACCTTTTTTTTTTTCCAATATTTGCACAGCCAAATAAGGGTGACTCAGAGATACATTTAACTACATGTTGTACTGTACAGTATGTGATGAGTAAATCTCTTGAATCTTCCACACAAATGATGCTTTCACTCTTTATTTGGATGCTCATCCTGCATGTGCCAAATATCTTCCGCCATATGACCGAATAATTGAGGGAAAATTTTAATCTATGCTTTTTAATAACTGAGTAATCGAGTTTAATTGAGTAATCGTGACAGCTCTAATTTATAATATACCATGTTTGGACGAACGGACAGACAGACGGACACACACTTCATTGATTCCAAGCAAAGAATTCTGAAAAGGTTGATTATATAAAATCCAATAAATAAATTCACAGAACATCTGCAGTGGTGAAAGTAATGATATATTTCATAGAGATTTGTCTATATACTTAAACATACACTTAAACATATACTAATTATGAGTGGCTTACTTGTTGCCCGTGCCAATATGCTGAAATAGTAGTCACTGCTTGATTGCATCTTTTCTGGTATTTTAGCTCACGAAGTGTCTTCCGAGCCTACATAAAGAACGGTGGTCGATGATCATGAACAGATTTAATCAACCCCAAATAGATACTACTAACCCAGACTGTTTTACATCGAGGCACATTTATTCAAGACAAATTTCATACTGTTAATACAATTCATGATCAAAAATCATGAAAGGCAATTATAATGATCTATATAAAGTTTTCTCTGTCGACATAAGGATAAAAGTTATTAATACATAAGCCATGCAAAAACAGCACTGGGTTACCAGTTCTGCTTAACTCACCTTCCATCCTCTGATGTAAGACTGTACCACAACAGTTGAGATCTTGATCTGCTGGTATTTCTTTTTTTGCTGTATAACAGCAGAATGGGGAAAAAGTAAATCAAATGTAAATGGTATACTATTAGCCATTTATCAATTAATTATCTTTTCTACCATCTATAAGCATTGTTTATAGAAGTATATGCACCCTATTTACTTTGGCCAATTCATTGGACGTAACATTAAGTATTGCAGATAATAGTGATGGTTAGCAGGTCAACTTTCAAATACTAACACTCATATTACAGGCCATTTCTACTTTTCACTTCTTACCTTATCAAGTCTAAACTACTTAATTCATATAACTAAAGATATTTGTCATTAGTGTAATATGTGACATGAGGAGGGCTGGAAGTGGCTTACTGCATATCTGCGATACCAGGCTGCCACAATGATCTGGCTCTTCCTCATGAGCAGGAAGAATTTACGACTCTTCCAGCCACGGTAGATCTTCTGAATCAGTGTGGCCAGATCCTCCAGACACTGCTTCCTCTTCAGCTCCAGTGTGAAGAGCTGGAAAGCAAGCAGCACACAACCTCTGACCTCACTGTGCCATCTTGAATGATATATTATAGGATGATATAAAGAACTACAGGTCAGGCTGAAAACAAGATACATCATAAATTAAGAATTAAGCTTGACAGCTGTTTGGTTTTGGCTGACATAGTTTCACTAATTGTCTTCATCATCATTTCATCGGACTACTTTAGTCTGTATTAATAGGACACAATGACACTGTTGAGAAGCAATGTTACAGTAATAATTAATCGGTTTTACAAGCAAGCTTCCGAGCACTAGGTATTATGAAATATAAAATACAAACTGAAAAATTGTACCTTTATGGTTTGGTTATTTAATTTTTGTCTTTTTGCTTCATTAAATCAAGTTGAATGACTCATATTTGTACCAGGTTATAGGTTATGGAATATACAATGTTATTTTGGCACAAAGAATATATGCTGTATGTCATATTGTAACTTGCAGTCTGTGCTTTAAGCAGGGAAATAAAAGCCAATCATAGACTGAGGTTCTACTTTTGCCTGAAGAAAAAAGCCAGTTCTTCTGATGGTGTTTGCAGAACTGTTACCGTTCTGGGGTTCCTGATGAAGATCTTGGTATGTCCATAGGAGAACTCCTCCTTTGGGATCTGCAAGCTGGTTAAAAGCACCTCCACTCCTTCCCTGTAGGAACAACACCCTCAGCAGTTCAGGATAAATTAGATCAGTTACGGGATTTTGAGATTTAAATAATTATGAATGATATCCCCTACACTGTACACCATTATCATAACATGAAAACAAATTTCACTTAGGTGGGAAATGGGTCTGGGTGATTTGATGATATTACTGGTAATCAACAACATCAGACGTGTAACCCAGTTTCAATATCTGAGAGTAAATGGTGTTGTATGGCTACGGCTTACCTATGTTATCTGTGTGAACCACTGCTTTAGATGGTCCATATACCTGTATGGTTTTTGAATCATAATTAAACCTGGCCCCCAATCTAAACAGCTAATCAGCAACTCACCCGGTCTAGTTTTAATACTGGTTGTTTAGCAGATTATGTCGTTTTTTCATGCTTTCTACTGTGAACCAAATAAACCTGAAGTACAAGCACATATTATGCCATACTATTAACCTAAGGCTAAGAAACAATGTTTAACATGCAGGACATGATGTTTGAGTGATATATACAATAAAAACCTGAAATGGAAACTATAGGAGACATTGTAACCATGTAGTTTTAATTCCCTAGAACAGGGGTCACCAACCTTTTTGAAACAAGTTTGAAACGCCCTCCTAAAGTTATCTAAAATTCATGTATAATAAACATGTTTTAAATGTTTTTTTTTTTAGATATTGTCATTTTCAAATCTATATAAATGCAAATGTGATTAAAGAAGAATAGCAACATGATAAAATTAAATTTTAGATGCTGCTCACTGGTGAGTTGTGCTATTTTTAGAACAGGTCCAGGGCCGACTCATGTGGTCCTTGGGGGCATCCTGGTGCCCGCAGGCAACATGTTGGTGACCCCTGCTCTAGAACATGCATTTCATGTAATCTACACATTAGGCAGTGACTGACAGGCAAGCAGAGAAAAGCTGCCCCCGATTCATAATGTAAAACAACTGCAGAAGCCTGAAGATTTGTCAGTGTTACCTGGCTGGACCCCTCCACTGAGGCCAAGTTTGTTTGCAAAGCATCTTGTACCGCTCCAGGCAAGGTTCATAGGGCTGGCGAAAGGCATAGCCAGCACGGCGCACACGGACGTTCTCCATGAGGCCTAAGTAACGCACTTGATGGCACACCAACATCTCTGTGAAGAGGCGGGCTGCCTTTTTGTCATTAGGCTTTATGCATCTAAAAAAACAGGAAATCAACCTTACAAGGGGGAATCATTCCCAAAAAATATATATTAAATCAAAAAGAGAACAGAATAAAAGCCACACCGAATGTAGTTGGGGTTTTTGGTTTGCAGATTCCTCATCAATGTGCCTACTGAGGCTTTGAACTGGGAGCCGACAGTAGGTGGCCTTTTCAAGTTGACTTTACTAGGTTCTCCCTCAGGGAAGAGCAGCTTAATCAGACTGTGGTTAGCCTTGTACATTGCTTGGGAAAGGTCACGGTAAAGCAAGTTGTTATTCTTGTCTACAAATCCTTCCACGCGGTACAACACCTAAGAAGAGAATATTATAACCATTAAATCTCATATTATTATACTAATTATATTAAATATTAAATTATATTAAACTGAATTTTCACAGTGCTGCACAATGAAAGTATGACACATTAAGTATCCAAGACAGACAGCCATGATACTGTTCCTTTTTTGGCCAATCTATTCATGATTAAAATAATTACAACTACATTTTTAAAGACAAAGAGATGTACTGTCCATCATCACATATCAAAAACAATAGGTGAGTATTTTGAATATGAAAAGTTGGGTATTCTGACTATAGTTAAATTAGGGAATGCTGGTAATCTGGCTCAAATGGAACCTCTAATCATGCTGTTCTTAATCTACAGACCAGGAAATCTCTGTACCTTGCCAGCATAATGCTGAATGCGGAAACAGTTGCGAGGCAAGCTGCGGTCAGTGAGGAACTTTGAGTTCTTGCTGTGACAGCTCTCAAAGCATTGGTGCTTAGCGCAGACTGTGTTGAGCTTGTCTAGGAAGGTCTCGTCTGACACATTTCCAGGGCGCAGACACTCCTCATCAAGCATGGCTAGGATCCCATTCTTGTTCTAAGTGAAGGTAATGGCAATATATTGTATCTGCTAAATCCAAATAACATGCTAAAATGTATTTAAGAGTAATGAAAACACAACTGAAATAAAATAATAACATGTTTTAACTAAGGCGTACTCTAACCTGATCCTTTTGAGTGATGAAATTCACTGAATATAACAAATTCCAACATATTACATGTTATTTAAAGTTCTAGTGAATGCTAGTGTGGTTAAATTTCAGTTAGTATGGGATCAAAATTTTAAAAATACTCTGAAAATGAAGCATAAATTACATGAATTATTCTCTTTTAAATGAATATTGGCATTTCTAAGAATAAGGAAGAGCATTTAACAAGAGGGAGGGGTGGGGACCATGCTTGACAACCTGTGCTGTAAGGCATTTTTTGGGAGCACACAACTAACTAACAATTTAATGTTTATTCTGAAGTGACCACATTCACAACTAAATGAACAATTCATTTGTTTAGGCTCAGCTTTTAGGTAAGAGGCTTAATAATTCATAGTAAAATGTTATTAGAATCTAACTACACCTGTTTTGAAAATTTTATAACAAATTAATAAGCAATTCAGCTTTTTTGATTTGCCAGACTAATGTAATGCATGTGCAAATGTGAACTTTTCTGTCTTTTCAGGAGAAATAAGAGAACAAAACTCACATTTTCAATGAGGTCACAGATCATTGCATTGTTGAAGTATTCAATGTTTGTCCATTCAATCCCCTGCAAAAAGAGGGATAAGTTAATCTTAAATGATCACCTTTATATTCAAATTCACAGTTTGTTTTTGGAAGCTAACAAGGTGAGTTTTCAAAGAAAAGCTTGTGAAGATTTATCCCAAGCTGAGACACTCAGATGTTGAAACACTGTATTGTTCAGTAACTATTGTTTGGTAACTATGCTACAATTCAGTCAAAAACTTTTATCACAGATGAAGCATTCACGCATATTCCTATAAAAAAGGAAATGTGAACACTTAATTCAAGTTCTGAAATATAATCTTCACTTATCACTCCCAGGGCTGTTTATAAAATGGAATTGCATCAGATTCTTAGTATCAAATTAAGTGGTTACTTGTATCAGTGGTCATATTAACAGCTAGTCAGGGTGCTGGAAATCACAGGACTTCAAGGCACATTTGTTATTTTAAGCCCGAATTGGTTCAGCCACCCCCAGCTTAATTTTGTCATTTTGCCATGTACTTCACTGAATAAGAGCCAGGGAGAGAAATACTGCAGAGAAGCAGTCAGGGAAGTGCTGGGATTATATTCTAAGGTACCATGTACACTGAAAAGTACACTGACAAAACACAATGTGTCATATACGGCTGGAAGTATATTGGGGTATTTTTAGGCCTTTAGCCAAAAGAAAAAAACTCACGTTCAACAGTATATGCAGTATTGTGCAAAAGTATTTGGCAATCAACGAAAATGTTTAAAGGTAATCATCTGGGCAGTACGTGTGTACTGGTAAAAGGTAGAAGCAACATTCTAATGCCAGAGATGACCGCTAACTCATCTGACACTTTTTCATAGTTCGATGGTTGACAGCAAGTGAACTTCAAAAGGAATGGAAAACATTAAGTGCAGGTGAGAGGTGCACTGCTAGGACAGTTTGTATCAGGCTGATTGAAGCAGGACTGAGGTCCTATAAAGCAAGGAAGAAGCCCTTCATTAATGAGAAGCAGGGAAAAACCAGGCTGCAGTTTGCAGAAAAATATATATTATTCACAGACACACCCATAAATTGAGAAATGAGTAAAACAAAAAATTGTGTTGTGTCTTATTTTTTTCCGTTGCTGTATTTGTTCACTAAAAAATAACACTAAAACATGTGCAAATTAAGAGACACAATAAAAACTAACAAGAATTTATGTTCTCTAAAAAGTTACCGAATTTTTTTTGGATGAAAGCATTTTACAACACAATATGCAGAGAAGATACTGGATGATCAATTTGCCATTGCATGTCCTCACCTCTCTAACGTACTCCTCTTGTTCTTCCCGCAGAGTCAGCTCAATAAAGATTTGCTGAAGTTTCTCATTGCAGTAGTTGATGATGAATTGCTCAAAGCTGTTGTCCTATAAATGGGAATTTGAAAATGTAATGTTAGCGACCACATATGCTTTGCATGTTTTTTCACCTCCAGCGACTGACCCTTTAAAAAAATGCTGAATTCCCCCCATTAACAGTCCCATTAGAACTGAATGCCTTGAACACCTCTCACATCATGCTGACTTGTCATTCGGGTGCTTGCTCCGTCCCGTTCCTGAGCCTTTTACTCATTTAATCAATACTTATACCAAGAGAAATTCTGATTAAAAGAGTGAACTCCTTCTGGAAGTTTTGTGGCCATAATATAAATTTATAATGAGGGTTTTTGGTAGCTTTTTATTTTATTTTTTTTAATATTAAACAAGTAATGGCAGATCTGGCTGTAGCATGTTGGAAGTAATGGCAATTTGCCAAAAAGCTGTGAGGGATATCTAAAAATTTATATTTAATATACTATTCAAAATAATAATCAAAATAATATTAAAAATATTGATATAAACGATAATATCAAATCACCCAGCACCCAGGAGTACTAAGTCAGGTAGTTTGTACATGTCAATGAAATTCTAATTGCATTATCTACAAATTCGAATGCATTTTTGGCTTGGCGACACACATTTGGTTGTGAAAGGAAGGTTATAATAATGCTTTTATTAAAATCGCATGCAGATGAAGTTGCAGGGCTTTCTAAAATCAGGTGAGAGGGATCAACCAGAAGAATGACTAACAGTAGGATATGGTCTGAAGAGAATTCATAAATATTGCACATCAGAAAGCTAGTATTGTGTTCATAACAACACCTGCACTTACACCAAGGAGGTGTGCTTAGTATAATACAATCCTTATTTGTGTCAAACTTGATTTTCTGCAGAATTCAGCATGATAATATGGTTGAGTTACACTCTCACCGTCATAGGAAAAAACATATGCAACTTCATTCATCAAAAAATTCACTCCAAGCAGTAATATTCCTAAGCTGCACGGATATGGGTGAACTTTAATAGCCATATTCAAAGGGCAGCAGACATTTTGTTGAAAATGACCAACCCTCCTATATGTTACGATTTCTACAATTTTTTTATTACTGTTTATTGTTTGTGATGGAGCAAACGAAATGCCTGATGGTAATTGACTAACTTACTGTACTGTACAAAGCACAGCAGTGCTTAGATTGATATGCATTACAGAGACAATATGGATCATCTTGGGTTGTTCAGTTTCACAGATGGACCTGTCTTTAGACTTGAACACACGAACATATGTCACTCTAAAGCCTCAATACTTACTCCATTCTGGTGCCATACGCAGAAAAAATGAGACAAAGAGATAGGATGAGACGCAGTTCATGCAAAATTTAAAGAATATCATGCTTTATTGCTTTTATTAGATCATGACTGATTACATAGATTGTGAAATCATGTACAACAAGTAAAATGAAAAAATAATGAGTTTTGGTGAGGTGAACCGCATCTCTGCCTTGCTGGGGTCTGAAAAAATGCATTCTTTTGCAAAAACAAATGCTATCATTTTAGAGCTGCTCGTCCGTGCCTCAACAATATGTCACTATATGACACATTTCGGGAATGGTAACAGTTAATGTCTATAAATAAAGCCCATTGTCAGCTTTTGGTCTTCCACCTGAGAGGAACATCGTCACTCATATTCTGTCAAACTGACACTCCTTCACCTTATTTAGCAGACACTTTTGGCCAAAGAGACATAAAAGTGAAAAAATAACATATGAAAACCCACGCTCCCTCGAGACAGAACTGAGCCAGCGACCTAAGGATGTCCCTCCTTACACATCTCTAGTCCTCTGCACTACCAGCTGAGCTTTTCAGCTGCACTTGTCACTTTGTACATCTGTGCACCTTTTTCAGTACCAGAATTCCTGCCCATTTACCTCATACCAACAAGTGACTTGTACTACTTTTTAATTATTTTGTGCTCTTGTTCAATATACCATTGTACTATTATACTACACGCTGCACTATCTATTGTTTTATGTACCTACTATGCTGTACCTTGTCACTCTGCCTGCAGTTCTTTTTTGCTGTAAATGTATTCTGAATTGTCATTTGTAATATATGTAGCATAAAAGCTTTTTATTTCATTCTACAGTATTTAGAGTAACAATCAAGTTGAATCAATTTGAACTGTAATGGCACGATTATATATTATGTTCAAGAAAACAATGGATAGGTTGAAAAATTAAAACATGATCCTTACCTCAAAAATTTCAAAGCCATAAATATCTAAGACCCCCATCACTTTCTTTTGTGCTTTGGTTTGAGCCTGATGGACAAAAAACAACATATAACAACAACATGACAATATGTATTAGTAGATATTAAAAGACTGCATAATCATCAAGAATCTATTAAAACTGCACTATAAAAATATAAAGCCATATTTTAACAATCATCCTGTAAATTAGTTGAAAAAAAAGGTTCTAATCTGATGTGAGACAAACTGGCATTTCTAGAAACTTTGTTAAAAGGAAAGAACAAAGATACCTTGATACTTTCATTTACCCTGGTCACCAACCAACTGAACAGTCGACTATAAAGATTTTTGGCGAGAGCATCTCGGGCATAGTAGGCCTGTAGAATAGAGGACAAATAAAACCATGGAGAAGAGGTTGTGTTACTGGGCTACAAAGGATCTCAGTGAGTTAAGGATGTCTGCCTGTGGAAGGTGAATTCAAATCATCTGACCAGAAGAGTAATCATATCATGGCTTCAGCACAAACAAAAAATCAACTGTGAAAATCATACTGATGTTCATACAATAGTACTGCACCAATAAATAATATTTGCTTGTAGTATTTGTCCAGGATTCCTCATTCAATTGTTTTGGATATTGAGCATCTGAACTGTTTTTTGCACATGGCAATGTTAATGGTACAGGAATTCTTTCACAATTAAGAAATACTAATTGCTGGACCTACTGTTTGAATATATAAATCAGTGCATTGGACATTATTGTATTTATGGGAGGAAGTTCTTCGCCATTTTTATTACGATTAATAAGGTAAAGATACTACTTCGTCTTGAAATGCAATTGACATTTAAAAAAATACTTAAAGCTGCATTTCAGACGTGGGAAATACAGCAAAATACAGTATGGCAAAATAAAACAAAAATCTTTGATTTGTTAATCTGAGTAGATTATGAAATATTTATGAAAATAAAAGAATCTTGTATCCTGCTTTTCCCCTATATCTAGAAAACTTATTTACTCCTGGCCAATACAGTCTGAGGGTGAGGTTTATCAGAAATGGGCACAGACAGACTAGTAGCTTCATCCTGTCTGGCATTCAGTGCAAAGACTGGCACAGAGAGGCTGGCAGCCTCATTCTGCTAGCATTAAGCATGGAGACTGGCACAGAGAGGCTGGAAGCCTCATTCTGTCTGGCATTAAGCATGGAGACTGGCACAGAAAGGCTGGCAGCCTCATTCTGTCTGGCATTAAGCATGGAGACTGGCACAGAAAGGCTTGCAGCTTCTTTCTGTCTGGCATTAAGCAAGGTGACTGGCACAGAAAGGTTTGCAGCTTCATTCTGTCTGGCATTAAGCAAGGTGACTGGCATAGAAAGGCTGGCAGCCTCATTCTGTCTGGCATTAAGCATGGAGACTGGCACAGAGAGGCTGGCAGCTTCTTTCTGTCTGGCATTAAGCAAGGTGACTGGCACAGAAAGGCTTGCAGCTTCATTCTGTCTGGCATTAAGCAAGGTGACTGGCATAGAAAGGCTGGCAGCCTCATTCTGTCTGGCATTAAGCATGGTGACTGGCACAGAGAGGCTGGCAGCCTCATTCTGTCTGGCATTAAGCATGATGACTGGTACAGAAAAGCTGGTGACTTAATTCTGTCTGGCATTAAGCACGGTGACTGGCACAGAGAGGTTGGCAGCTTCATTTTGTCTGGCATTAAGCCAGTGAGAAGCAGCATCTCCATTTCACCTACGCTAATGTGGCACGCAAGAATCAGGAGACAGACAAATGCCCCTCAATAGTCAAAGTTCCTTGAGGGAACACTATACAAAAGGGAGTCAAAAGAGGTTACAGTTCATTCATGGTGGTCATCCTCCAGTAACCACCCGCACAAAGTGCAAATGTAATCTAGCTTGTCCTTTCCCTCCTCTGTAGGGTTCTTCTAAGGACAGGATTTAAGCCCTACAAGGGCGATCATCAGTTGCCACCAACAGTGAGGAATCAAGGTTTACTGCTGGACCAAAAAAATCCCATTAAGGTGCCAGTCACCATCTTTCCTGCATCTTTAATAACCGCATGAATCATGGCCTAAAAGTCTTACCTGGGCCACATTGAGGGTGGTAGACACCTTCTCCTGTTTGGCTTCCACAGTCCGGACACTGAAGGCCCTTTCCAGTATCAACTGGTCAATACCCAGTAACTCACACATTTCCTTCAGGTCTGTTAAGAAGCATATTTATTTTTTAGATTATTATTAATAACTTAATAAAGTCACTCAGTAGTACAATTTAAATAATATCAAACAATTGAGAATTACAGGGTAAATTGAACTAAATGTTCCATATCCCAAAAAAGAATTCTAAGCAATAGTATGATATAAAAGTGAATATGAAAAATGAAAGGTTAATTATGTGGCCATTACCAATCATATAGTCACTTGTGTTTACATTTGCATAACATTTCACATGGTTTGTAGGTAGCAGTAAGAAATGATTGCCTTCAAAAGGAATGGGAAACATTAAGGGCATGTGTGAAGGGCACTGCTAGGACAGTTTGTATCAGGCTCCTAGAAGCAGAACTAAATTCTCATAAAGCAAGGAAGAAGCCCTTCATTAATGAGAAACAGAGAAGAACCAGGCTGCAGTTCACAAAATAAATATTTTAGTCACAGATCCACACCCATGAATTGAGAAATGAGTGAAACAAAAAATTCTGTTGTGTCAGTTTTTTACAGTGCTGTGTATACAGTCAGGACCATAAATATTTGGACAGAGACAAAGTTTTTCAGTTTTTAAGTTCTGTACATTACCACAATAAATTTTAAAAGAAACAAGTCAGATGCAGTTGAAGGGCAGACTTTCAGCTTTAACTCAGTGGGTAGAACAAAAACATTGCATAAAAATGTGGGGAACTAAAGTATTTTTTCTACACAGTCCCCTTCTTTCAGGATCTCATAAGTAATTGGACAAATTAATATAACTGCAAATAAAATGTTAAATTCTAATACTTAGTTGAAAACCCTTTGTAGTCTTGAACTCATTATCATGACCAGATGCTGGGTCCTTTTTAATGCTCTGCCAGACCTGCAGCAGCTTTCACTTGCTGTTTGTTTGAGGGTCTTTCTGTCTATAGTTTAGACTTTAGCAAGTGAAATGCATGCTCAATGGGATTGAGATCAGGTGACTGACTTGGCCATTCGAGAATATTCCACTTCTTTGCTTTAATAAAGTCCTGGATTGCTTTTGCTGTGTGTTTTGGGTCATCGTCCATGTGTATTATGAAACGCTGCCCAATCAATTTGACTGCATTTGGCAGGATTTGAGCAGACACGATGTCTCTGAACACCTCAGAATTAATTTGGCTGCTTCCATCCTGTGTCACATCATCAAGAAATACTAAAGACCCAGTGCCACTGGCAGCCATGCACGCCCAAGCCATCACACTGCCTCCACCATGTTTTACAGATGATGCAGTGTTCTTTGGATCATAAGCTGTTCCAGCCCTTCTCCATACTTTTTTCTTTCCATCATTCTGATACAGGTTGATCTTTGTTTTGTCTGTCCAAAGAATGCTGTTCTAGAACTGTGCTAGCTTTTTAGATGTTTTTTTGCAATGTCCAATCTAGCCTTTCTATTCTTAAGGCTTATGAGTGGCTTGCACCTTGCAGTGAACCCTCTGTATTTGCTTTCATGCAGTCTTCTCTTTATGGTAGACTTGGATATTGATACTGTACACCTTCAAGAGCTGGGCGGTATGACAGAAAATGTATATCACGGTATTTTTCAAAGTTATATTGGTTTCACGGTATACAATGGTATTTTTTTTAAAGTATGACTGGGCGTTTACCACATTTTACAGGATTTTACAAGACACATTTTTGTTTACGTTTTTGCATTGTTCCCACATTAACTATATCATTTTACTATTAGCCATTGCGCCTATCCACTACCTTAATGATAACATACGGGTAACATGTTTGTTGTTTAACTGCTTATAGATAAATGGCTAATGTTAAGGTGTGCGCCAGCCAAGTTCACATTTTTGATAAGTGTTTAATAGTTCAGTGTTGCTGGAACGCGAGCTCTACGTACTAAAGCACTGTTTGCATAGAGGCTTATCGGCATCCTTAGCCTTTCCATGCTCGTCTGCAAAATACTTCCAAACGGCACTTTAGGGTTTTTTTTTTTTTTTACTGAGGCAGCTTGCGAAGTGCCTTCAACTGCAGCATACGCCATGTTCGGCCAACTTGCTGTGTGTGTATTAACCCGCGCGAATGCGTTCAGCGGCTATTGAGAGGAGGGGAGGGGCTGTGCGCGTGTGTGTATGTGTGTGTGTGCGTCCACGCGCGCCTGCGCTGTAGTGGTGCTGTGTGAAATGTGGCGAATGAGGCAAAAACCGCACTGTTGGTATCAATAATGGTGAAAATGAGTATCTAATCAGATACTAATTTTTAATATCGATTAGAATCTGAGAATCGATTTCTGAATAGTGCCTCATTATTTTCAACTCCAGCTTCAGCTTTATCTTCCGTTTTCATTTTTAGCGGTGCAGCAGTGAAAAAGGCCCCCCTTAAGCAGTTTCCAGCTGCACCACTTTCCGAACGTTGTGTAGGCTATTTAAACCGGTATTGCGGTATAAGAAAAATTAATATCATAACAATAATAAAAAACGGTTTTCGATATGAACCAGCACAAAAAAAACCCCAATGTGTCCTGCCCGGATCGTGTGCTCCTTCCGTGAGCCACGCCCCCTCATTAACCTTGTGTGGAATCCCCATGTGATCAGCTGTTTCTGGTTGTTGTCTTTAGTCCCCTGTATTTAGTCCGCGTTTCAGTTTGTTTACTCAGTCCGGTCATTGTATTATCTGTCTGCGTTTTGCCTGCCTTTTATTCCCCGATACCCTGACGTCTGCGCCTTTGTCTCCATTCCGTACAAGCTGGGCACGACAATATTATTATAATTAAATGTATTAATGGTCTATTATTAATGATATAAAAATAATTAAGAAATCTTTATTTTAAAATGTATTTTTTATATAATAATACTGTTACTGTCTATCATTGTCTAAATGTATTTTTACTGTCTAAATATATGCATTCAGCTAGTGTAAACATGCACGATGCTATCACAGCGAATGCCAGGCTGAGACTGAAGCGTTACCCTTTGTTTCTGTTGAGAGACATGCCACATGACTCATTTCCCCGCGTGTACAAGTTATCTTAGGTCGGCATTCACAGTTCGACTTCTGAGATTCAGATCGAGTTCTAGATCATTTTTTTTTTAACTGGTTCGTTCGAATTTTAAGAAATTTGAGTTCTATTGAGTTCGAATACTGAGTTACCACTGTATTACAGTTCTGCTGACAGTCTTTCCTAGTGGTGGACACTGCTACAGTATATGCACCACAGTTAAGAAGTAATAAGAAGGACTTCCCCTTCTTCAAAGGAGTGGCCCTCAACAAGCCTATGCAGGTTTTCATTCTTCTCAACATGTATTTTGGTTAAAGAGGGCTATCTGTAGAACACCACAAGCAGTGTAGGAATCTTTATATATGAAGTAAAGAAAATTAATTAATACCAGCCAAACATCACAGCAGTACGCAAAGTGGTCTCACCATTCTTGTCCTTCACCCGGCTCTCATCAAAACCATCGACACGTGATTCTGACTTAAACTCAATATTGCCCAGCTTTAGCACAGCAGCCACCAACTCCAGCACAGAATGTACCTCACTCTCCATGAAGCCAACAATCTGCATAGCATTCTGGGGAAAAGGAGGAAATGGGACCAATAAGAACAAGGCTGGATATGCAACTGGAATGCAGCATTCATTGACATAAAGCTATTTTAAAAACTGACGTTTCAAGAGAGATTTAAAGGTATAGGTTAATGCTTTACTTGATGGGGCTGAAATACTTAGTAATAACTCAGTTACTGCTGATGTACCAATTATAAACAAATCATGAACAGATACAGTTGCTACTGTACTTGATATGAAGTATGTCAATTCATTAATGATGAACAAACATGAGATTTCTTGTGTTATTCATTACTTGTTCCTTCAATAGTTCCTTAGTAGTTCATTCAGTAGTTCACAAAGGTCTACATAATTAACAGATATAGTAACAAATACAGTAACTGCTTGAGATGAAAGATACACCATGATTCATTAATGATGAACAAATATGAAAGCAGCATATATCTTGTGTTATTCATTACTTGTTCCTTCAGTAGTTCCTTCCATAGTTCACAAGTTTACAAAATTAACAGATATAGTAACAAGTATAGTAATTGAGATTAAACATGCATCATTAATGATGAATTAACATGATAGTATGTAACTACAACTTAGTCTAAGACTGAATACACTCTCAATGAAGCAGATTATATTTTCTGTACAATTTCTCATTTTAGGTGGCAGCCATTTAATTGATCCAAAGAAGGCACTTGATCAAGGAGACAACTAGACAGAAATATTTTTTTCAAAATGGCCGTAAGTTGCTGTCCATCATTCGAGCTTGGGAAGTGTGTTTTAGTCACAACTTCCTTGCTTTCAAAAAATAAATAAAATAAAATAAAAACTGCCAGTAATTGTCACACATACAGTGAGGGAAATAATTATTTGACCCTCTGTTGAAATCCTAACTAGACCATTTTTCAAAAATGAGAAGTCTATAATTTCACTGGTAGGTTTATTATAACATAAGATTTTCAATAAAACAGACAAGAAAAAAATCCTTATGTAACAGGCACAAAGGAATTTGTCATTTATCTATGGAAATAATTATTTGATCCCCTACAAGTCAGCAAAAATTAGGTCAAGTACATGTGCACTAACACAACAAAAGTAGTACTTAATTAAGTATTAACAGATATCAAGCCAGCATTCACATTTGACAGCATTACTTTGTTAAATAGTATTCTTGGGTCACTAACCTGTCTACATCTTCAATCTTATCACCATGGAAAATACCTAAGAGCTGTCTAAGGACATCAGAGTCAAGATTGTTTACCTTCACAAAGGTGGAATTGGCTACATGACCATCAGCAAGCAACTTGGTGAGAAAGTGACAACTGTTGGTGCAATCATTCACAAATGGGAGAAAGACGAAATCCTGCAGTGCTCACAAAGGGCACCTACTCAAGAAGGCCCTATCTGAAATATGCCAATGAACACCTGAATAATTCCAATGAGGCTTGGGAGAATGTGATGTGGTCAGATTAGACCAAAATTGAGCTGTTTGGTATCAACTCTACTGTGTTTAGAGGGAAAAGAATGCTGACTATAACCGCAGGAACATCATCCCTACCGTCAAACACAGAGGTGGAAGCATTATGCAAAGCAGTGGTTCAAGAAGAAGCACATTAAGCTCATGGAGTGCCCTAGCCAGTCTCTGGACCTTAATCCCATAGAAAACCTATGGAGGAAACTCAAGCTTCATACATCCAAGTGACAGCCTATAAACCTTAAAGATTTGGAAGTGATCTGCAATGAGGATTCGATGAAAATACCTGCTGAGCTGTGTTCAAACCTGGTGACCAACTACAAGAAATGTCTGACAGCTGTGCTTGCCAATAATGATCACTCCACCAAGGACTAAAACATTTGTTCCAAGGGATCAAATACTTATTTCCCTAGATAAATGACAAATTGGTTTGTAACTGTCACATAATGGGTATTTTTTTGCTTGTTTTGTTGATAATCTTTTGCTTGTTAAAATAGACCTACTGTACCAGTGAAATTATAGACTTCTCAATTCTATACTAATGGGGCAACTTAAGAATTCAGCAGGAGGTCAAATAATTATTTCCCTCACTGTACAGTAACTGTAAGACAAAAGGACTTGGTAGAGAGACATTTGAAAGGGAAGGAAAGAGAAATGACATAAGTGATGAATGAAACACCTGTGGGTTTTGGCACCAACAGATGGCTGATTGTTTCATCGGACTGGAGCCTATTGTCCACTGCACAGTAGTGCTTGTTATGTTTATTTGTCTGAACCAACAGCTGTGTTACGGCTGCTCAGACAGGAAAGACTGAGGAATTGTAAAGCTATTGCCGGGAACTGGTGCAGGGGTGTGGGAAGGGTGTGACTCAGATGTTGTTTAACACACTTGACATTGAGGAAATGATAGAAAAACATGGTGATATATGTACTACATTTCTACATGCTTATAATTCTTCATGGAAGTGAGATATGATTATCATGATTATATGTGATTATGTATGACTATCTGGAATTAAGTGCTTTTCCCCACATATTATTTTGTTTTTATATTTTTCATTATGTGTCCAGCATTATTATATTTCACTATCTTCAACTTCCCATTTTACTGCTTAAACACAAACATATGCAATATTTAAGCATAATCATTTCATTATATTTCATTCTTTCTGTTTGCAAATCAAAATTGTCTGAGATGTGTACTATGTGCCTTGCTTGTATGCTTTGGACAAAAGTGTCTTCTAAATAAAGAAGTGTGAATGCAGTGTAAAAGCAATGCACATGTATTCAAAAGCTTTGGTTCTGCCTTCAGATAAGCTTGTCTGCAATGTATGCAAGCAACGAACACAAAAAATAAATTATGGCAAAGTGATGCTGATCTGTGAGTCCAAAGAGGTATTTTCTGACAGGTAACTGACAGGCAGCTAAGAACAATGGAGTTAACAATAGTCTCCTCATGTCTCAAAACCTACCCTGACACTCCGAAAGTTGGCAGCGTCATCCAGCCCATTGACCACAGCACAATCAAGACTCAGGTAGTTGTATTTGAAGAAGTTTCTTTCCAGCATTAGTTTTTCTGAGTGTAAGAGGAACACAGACAAAAACAGATCCTATAGCTTTGTAGAGAGCCCAAGTGCACTAGATTGTCACTATCAACATGTTGGCCCATTTAGATTTCATCAAGCTTTTGTCTGACTCAAGATTATTTTTGAAGAGCACCCTCATTGAAGCTGCTACACCACACATCAAAATACTTTTAAATAAACTGACATGGATTCTGGATTTATGGGTGGGACAGAAAAAAATCAGATATCCATCGCATTATTCTGCAACTGTAATGTCACTTCTTTTGCTATATCAAACATACTAGACCATAAAGGATAATAAGAGGTATAATAAATATAACGCAATGTATGTGACAGTACAAATACAGAAATAATAATAACTTTCAGAATTAATTTTCAGAAGGGTCCATCAGAGATCACTCACTCAGTAAGTCATCTGATGCTCCAGAGAGGAGTTGGTAAAATATGTGGAAGTTCCTCTCTCCTCTGGGCTGCCTGACAACCCGAGACTTCTCCAGAAGATCTAAGGGAGGTTTCAAAGCATAAATATACATCAATACTGGTCTTACAGTGACACCATTCCACTACTTTCATTACTTTTGTTTTCCAGTAATGAGCTTGAAATAGTGAACGAAATGTTGTCTTAAGTATCAAGAATTCCAAAACATCACACACAGACACACATAATAAATACATGCATGCTCACTCATTCTCCCAGGAACTGCTAAGTCCACAGTACAGAGGAAGCACACACAAAAACAAATTTAAAGACATTGCCTCCCATAAACTGTGTGTCTGAACTCTGAAAAACAGTACTTTGAGGAAGCCAATGCAATCACAAAGATGTGAAACCACATGTGAATTGGTGAGCTAGCTCACCAATTCCTGAATAAATTAAAATGGTATTTATTATTCACCAATAAAGTTGTGATGCCTGCCTAGTGAAGCAGGTGCTCACTATATTCTGGGTGACCCTGCACCAAGGTGATAACACATATATGTAACTGTCCTTGACCCTTCCCAGAGCTGCAAGAACGAAGGTACATGAAGTTTCTCTCTTGGTATTGATCAAAGGGCATATAGTAAATGATATACGATCTGTGATTAAAGGTTGCACTGCTAGTGATTTATGGTTCTTATCCCACATTTTATCCTCTATACTTTTTTATTAGTTTCTGACGTACTGAAGTTTATTTAGCTAACCTGTATGATACTAGTATAAGCACTTATATTCAGGATAGAGAGATTTATATTTGTAGAACCTGATAAGCACGGGTTCATATCACTTCAAAATCAGTACCAGTGTATAGATTGCCATGTGCTTGCCCTGAAGTCACAATTAAAAAAAGTAAAATATGTGCCTATCAATACACGAGATACAACCTTACTGCTACCATTTCAAATGTTTCTTACATTTCCTGGGAGAGAACTATATCTGGAGTAGTGCTAATTTTGAGTCGTGAAAATGTGGATTTTGAGTAATTGTAAGTCTCTTGTCAGTGACCATTTTGCAATTATTAAGAATACTCAAATTATTGTAGCATCATGAACTTTTGGGAAACTGAAGACTGATGAATAGTAAGTGGATACACAGAAGGACACAATAAAGGAAGTTCTTCTAAAAAGTTTAACACATGCCAGGATTCATCTATACTTATATTTAAAGGTGGTTGTGCACCTTCTGCTGATATTCCTAATGTATTCTAACAATATGCTGAAACCACACTGAGGAGAGACAGGATGTGTGTTGTGTACATTGTGTGAAAGTTCCTAAATCTAGAATGTTCTTCAAGAATGTTCAGGAATGGTTCCTCCACAGAGTGTCTGCTGACCCTTTTGCACGCTGAAAGTATTCTGCAATGTTGCTTTAGACATTTATTACGAAAACAAGTATTACTTTTATTGCTAATGAGGACTGAAATTTCTAGAATTCAAACTGGCATACACTGCAGTTTTTGAAAAAATAACAATTGAGAACAAATAAAAACAATCATACCAATATCTGTGACACTTTGAGTAGAAAGAGATGAAAGACATGAAAAGACAGCATAGTCATGTTAAAGGGAATAACATAAGCTTTGCTATCTCCAGGACAGTAAACATGTACTGTTGTGCGTATTTTGTCTATGGGAAAGTAAAATGTAGTAAATTTACTGTAGAACTTCAGTGTGTCCTTTGTTTTATTGCTTTTCTAAAGGGAAAAGTAGAGACACTTGCTTAGGTGGAATGGATAATTCAGAAGTAATCATCACAGTTATTGCACCTCCAGCTCAAACAGAGAAAGCCTCAAACTTGAGTCTATATTACTACCTTTGGCAAAGAAGCATGATGATTATTGGATGCGGTTGGTTTTTACAGTAGTTTTCATTAATGATCATTGTGAATGCACGGAAATGGAGACCTCTGTGCTGAGCAGCATAGATACAGTCTATTCGTCCTGCATGTCATCCATCCATCCATCCAGTATCCATCCATCCATCCATTGTCCAACCCGCTTATCCTACTGGGTCTCGGGGGGCCCGGAGCTTATCCCGGGAACAACGGGCACAGGCGGGAACCAACGCTGGGCGGGCGCCAACGCACCTCAGGGCACACACACTCACCCAGCCACACTTACACAACTACAGGGCCAATTTAGACACGCCAATCAGCCTACCCCGCACACTTTTGGACTGTGGGAGGAAGCCGGAGTATCCATATCAACATATGGCAATATAATACTATCAGCTTACATCAGTCCACAGTCTGTATTACATAGCAATTCCATACTTACAGTTGCTAATTACTCCACCCAAAGGGTCACCTTTAAAGTCAAATTCAATATCCATGTACTTCCCCTGTTAAAAATAAAGGACCATAATACATTAGTGACAATGCTATTCATAGGAGTAGTAGCAGTAATATTATATTAATATTCTACGGTTCTATCTGCTTCTAGGAAATATGTGATAAGAGTAGTACTGAGATTGGGACTGCAACTTATCCCACCTAAATGTTTGGGGGGTCTGCATTCCTCTTTGCAGGTCCTTTGCATATCATAATGAAGAAAATCTCTTTTCAAATACCAGTGCTAAGTTTGTAAACTACTAATAAGCTTCATGATTTAATCAATACTAATGATTGATGGCTTCCTGAAGTGAAATTCCACTTGTCAGAGAAAATGCCATAATCAGTTATATAACAGCTCTCTTAATGGTGGTAAATAATTAACCAACATGTCCACATTCTTACTACATAACCCCTTTCCTAAAAGGGGAGCTTCTGAAAATACCATTTTCCTGAAATACCATTCTGATATGTCTGGAGAAATACAGAAGAAACTCAAAATTTAAACAAGAACTGTGGACATTACAATTTCATGCTCAAATATTGTGATTAATCAGTTTATATTTTACTTTCAGTATTTATTTCACTATGGAACACAAACAGAAGGCTGTTAAAATCAATCAATTATTATATGTTTGAAATGTTGCTCCCACCATGATCTACAGTAACAGGGATAAATAAATTAGTATAATTTTTAATAAAAAAAAAAACAGCCTCAGTAACAGAAAACTGCTATAGCAGATTTCGCAAATAGTTTCAAGATATTTGTGCATTTCTTTGAATCCTTCATAGTTAACATATTTAAAAAATACCTGCAATATTTTAGCAGGTAATTTACTAGTGAGTAAGGAAAGGAACTTCTAGGAACTTCTACAGAACTGAATACTCACAAATCGAGAAGAGTTGTCATTTCTTACAGTTTTTGCATTCCCAAAAGCTGAAAAAAGAAAACAGTGTTAGTACACAGTATTAATAAAAGTTATATCATTCGTGAAAAAAAAAACACAGACAATATAATTCCCCTATGGCAAATGACCTTGATCCTAGAAGCGTATCAGTAACTATTCTAAAAGAAATTTTTAGAATCAGTGTATTTGGTATTCAGTGTGAGGATTAATAACTGAGTTTGATGTAATACTCTGAATAATATAATAAACGTTTGCATGAATCAGAGTTCAAAGGTTGTGTCCTTTTTAGGATCATGTTAAGTTCTTCATCTGCAGCAACATATAACACACAGAGTGCCTTGCATCATGCGTATTAGCAGTGAAAGAGCTCATTGAAATGGTAGCGATGGGACTAATGAGGGCTCAAGGGAAAGACCAAGGCTGCCTGTCCAAGGGCAGAGCAGGAAATGTGATTTGTCTCTGCTTTAGGGGTCAGTGCGGTCATACAGTATGTGGTGTGTTGGAAAATGCTTGAGAATTTTAATGGAACCTGCAACCTCTTCAGCATCAAGGCATTTTCCCAAAGATCCATAATATATTGCTAAAGAAAATTAATCATAATTTCACCAAAATTATTATACCCACTGGAAAAAACCTGTATTGAACTGAACCCGTGTGCAAGTTATTTACATTTTTGTCATCTTTCTGAAAAAAAAATTGGGCAAAATGATTCTTCTTTATATCAAATGTAAAGCAATATAAATGATGAAATTTGTCAGTGGGTAGCAATGTCATCTAATTCTTCCAAGGTTGGGGGTTCCAGGGTTGCCCTAGTGTGGAGTTTGCATGTTCTCCCTGTCCTGGGGGGATCTGTGACATACTGCGGGTTCAGCCAATAACCCAAGATTAGGTGAATTTAAATTCCTTTCATATACTGGCATCCCTTGCAGCAGGTACCTTAGCCTGGTAGCCTATGCTGCCTTCCTACCATCCCCCCCTTCTCCCTGAGACCCTGTAGGTAACAGTTAAGACCTAAAATAAAACCAGAGCATGCCAATTAACCATCAAATAAATGTGTGGTATTTCTGTACACAGTTTGTGATGCATGTTGAGGGCAAAACTGGCTGGTCAGTCTTCTCCCTGTATTTGTCTGTCATATGTCCTCACCCTCCAGCACAGGATTGGACTGAAGCAGCTGCTCCTTCACCTTGTTGACCTCAGCACCTTTCCCACACACAGCTGCCACATATGACATCACCAGCTTGCTGGCCTCTGGAACACGTTGCCAAAAAAGGAAGGTCAGCACTGAATATGTGGCAGTCCACAAAAAAAAGAGCCTCCAAATCTCAGCACTTATACCACCATGCTTGACAATGGAGTATGGGCTAGCTTATGTGTTCTAACAAAAGAAAAGCTTTAGATGATTGTTACACAGACATTTGCATGTTGTTTTGTGTGCATGTTCATCATTACAGACTCTCCTCTACTTACGACTGAGATACGTTCCGAACGGCCGTTCGTAACTTGAAATGTTTGTAAGTCATTATTCAACACCATTTTAAGGGTATACGCAAGTACTAAGAACTAGGATGCTGGGAGTACGCACGCTACGCTGCTGCGCGGCGGGAGTAGCGGCCAGAAGTCGTACTACCCAGAATTGCGCTCAGGAAAAAAAAATATGTTGTGGACAGGAAACGGAAGCCCAAGGAACACAATTTGGACTTACAGTCCTCTGTGTTCATATGTCTGAAAGTTCGTAAGTAGAGGAGCGTCTTTATACACTATGGACTCTAGAGACATGATATCACTACTGATGCTACAGACTAGGCAGCACAAAAAACTTAACCATGAGGTGGTAGTAAATATGACAATGTGATTGACTTCTGGTCAGCATTTATATAGTAACAGTTACATTACAATTACATTAACAAAGGTGCGCACACCGTGATAATCATCTGAGTTTCAAAACAAATGCATGAGTACTGACATGAAACATGCAATTATGTCAGAGTTAGTTCCTAGACTTGACCCGAAGGAGCAAACAATACGGATATAATTCATCATTGTGAAAGCATGCATGAAAAAAAAGAGAAAAATTCAACAAAGATATTATGCTGGAAGGGATAAAGAACACACACAAAGTGCAGGAACACCACAAAGAGTGGAAAGAGCAGTAGAACAATCTGCAAAATAGCCTGTATTACCCAAATATAAGCACTTCTTAGGGAAACAAAGCCAAGAGGTTGGAAACAAAGTCCAAACTGAAATCAAGAGAATACAATGAAGTTGTTCATCCATACATTAATTTAATTATTCATAAATTCATTCATTCATGCAGGGTCACAGTAGTCTGGAGCCTATCCTGAAGCAAGGGAGGGAATAACCCATAATGCGGTGCCAGCCCAGAGAGCTATTCATCTTACTGTTTATAATGTTTTAGTAATGCTACATATCTGGCTGAGAAAGTCACATCCTTTACTATTTTGAACATAGACAAAATCCACTAATTGGATTAAAATATAAATTGAACTTCAAAAGCTTATTTACATTTGCCTTGCTATGTTGTGAATACCAATACGTATTGAATTGAGGTACTTTATTAATCCTTGTGGGGTATGAACTACAGACACAATTGTGGTTTAGGTCCTTACTCAAGGGCCCAATGGTGGCATCACTCTACCAGCCGTTTGAGTCCTAACCCACAGAGCTAGACAAATGAGCAAGAAAAGGTTTTCAAATATGAGGATGTTTGAGGAGACCATTCAATGATAAGCATGGCTACAATAAGGTGAGCAATAAGAAAATATGCAATACAAAACAGTACCTGTCTTCCCTGCTCCACTCTCCCCTGTGATGAGGATACACTGGTCTCTATCCTGGTCTCTCAGTGACCGGTAGGCCTCATCAGCCAGGGCATAGCTAAAACAGAAAAAGGAAAAAAACACTCCCACTAGCTGCTCCAACATTCAGGCCACACTGCTTGATACAATTAAAAAGATTGTCTTGAGTGTTGTGATAAAAGTGCTTTATTCCCTTGCACTTCCAAAACATTAGTGGCCTTTATTGACAAGATATGCAACATCTGAATGCAACATTTATGGTGTTGGTTGGTATATAGCGATTGTACAACAACAGAATCCATCAAAACTACAAAATTATTCATCCCTCAAACCATCACCATATGAACGACAATTACAAACATACAGCCTAAAATCGAATGAAAATCAAACACTGTAATGTATGAGAAAATGGATTTTCATTTAGTTTACATTAGAACTCATTTGTTCAGTCTGGGGATGACAAAAAAACTAAAACAATCAAATTTAATCTGCTTTAACAACAAATTAGATACTTTCTACATTTATATACAAAACCTTCTACATAAAATATGCAACCCAACAGCAGGTGAACCATTGTTTTGGTGGTAATTCTACAGGCATACAGTACTTCTACAAGCTAAATTATAGCAATGGGGAGCTTCGTGACAAAATGAGGTATCACTGATGAATGATCTGCCGGAAGCACACACTACCATAGGAATGTTGTAGAGTTTGCAGCACTCAGATATTCCCAACAGCTCTCCTGGTCACACCCTCCTCAAGATGTGACACAGCCTTTGAACCCTGATTGGTGCAAAGGTTTATTATAATATTCATGGTATTACTAACCTCACCTATCTTCATTATATATATTTTTTTACCAGTTTAACCCATATGAAGTTAAATATTATGAACAACCTCATTCCATCTACCCTGAGTACTCTGGGTCATTCACAAGATTTGTGCAAACACATTTTATCACTTTTCATTTCAGACCTAAATCATGCAAACAGACAGGTGTCGGGGATAGGGGAGTATTACCTGGCAAACAGGCCATGAAATTTTACTTTCAAATTATGTACTGTAATATTCCATGCAACCAATGTTCAAGGACTGCACCATTTTTAAATTTCATTGTCAGAAACACCGAACAGTCAGCATAAATATACATTTTCCCAGCCATATTTGACATTAAAATCTATACTATTGCACCTCTATTATGATGCAAAAGGGAAAAAAAGTTTGGTAACACGTTCTGTGTAGCTGTCAAAGCAACCGTAATGCATTATAATGGTCAGTATAAGAAGTGATGCTATTTACTGCATTTTTAAATCTATAATGCATTATAATGCATTATAAGTGCAAGCTTTATTGGAGCTTATGAATTATTATAATCAACACTACAATGCCTTATGACGAATAAGGCAAGATGCTGCAATGCTTTATTAATTCTTATACTGACCATTATAATGCATTGTGAAAGTATCTATAATGCGTTATACATGACAGCTTCAAGTGTTAACAAAAGTTCTTTAAAAGGCAGTCCATCGTAATGAATATAGTCTTTTTTCAGATTTGAGTAAGGACATTTCATGCAGGATTCAGCACCGTGTAGCACACCTGAAAATAGGTCTAGGCGATATGACCTCAAATCAATATCACGTTTGCTTGAACATTTTACCTCGATTATGATTAATGAACGATTACTTTGGTTTTTTTGTTTGTTTGTTTTTTGCCCTCATATTTAAATAAGCAGGTTTGTACTGTAAATATGTTACAATTATTGAGGTTGGGATATTTTTTCTGATGGAAGACTGCTGTCTTTATGATTTAAAATTAACTGAAGGAAACGCAGATGATTGTTTATTGAATTTTTCGAACAACTGAAATCAAAGCATAAATCTCACGAAATGAAAACATCTTATGAAAAAGTTTCCTAAAAAAGTAAAAAATAAATAGTTAGCATTTTTATTTTCTGTGCATGCAGCATTAGCCTCAGGTAGCTAGCTAGAAGCAGATGGGTTACTGCAAGGTAAAGTAGACCTATCAAAGTAAAATAACAAAAAAAGAATTACCTTAGTCTTACAGTATTTTTTTCATATGGTGTCTTGTAAAAAAAGGCCCAAAATGAACACTGTAAGAGGACTGCTTGATTACTACAGGTATAAGCAAATAATTTAAACAGTGTTTATACAGGAATAATTCTCTCTCAAGCTTTTTGATCCATACACTGTATGTGGTTGGTCACTATAACCATGAGTGGTTTCAACAGTATTTTGAATATTGCTAGTGTTGAAACCAATTAATGGTATTACCTTTGGAAGCTGAAACTGTTTTACTGCAGTGTTTACATTTAACCTCTTTTTATTTGGTGTCATCAAAGCCACGGTGTGCCCAAATGATGGACACAACATTTTTCTTTGGCACAAGCTGCTTGAGTTGCTCAGTCAGTTGAATGTTGTTTTCATGTCACAGACTGGATGGGGCAGAGTCACATGACAACACATGTAGTAGTATGTTTTTAAGGGGACAGTACATGAAGACACACTGGGGAAAGTATTAACAGCCCTACCTGAAAAGCTTCAACTCATCAGGCATTCCCAAAGCACTAATAAAATGCATATAACTGTGAGTATCTGAAAGGGCATAGATTTAGGTATGGACAATAGGGACATGTCCCCACCAATATTGTAGGAATACCGTGTGTGTATAGGAGGACGCGAGTTTTGGTGCTGATTTTGTCCCTACCAACATAGAAACGATGTCTATGTGTACTTTTGTACAATATCACAGATTAAACTAAAGTAACTAAAACTAATTACAACCACCTTCCAACTGCCCATTCAAAAAAGAGCCTGGAAACCATCATAGGCAGCACAGGGCACAGGGCTAACAGAGAATTTTGTTTTGATTTGAGTGCATGTGTGCTTGTGTTGGTGTGAATAAAATTTGGTGCCAATTCCCTAGCTACCCAAAGAATAAGTTTATCCTCAGGCTGTGCAATAAACGGCTAGGATAGCCCATGTTCAGTTGCAGATATTACCACAACAAGAATCCTACAAACTGCTCTGGGAGCACATGGGGACAAAACACACGTACTGTATATTACTTTCTATTCTTAGCTCAAAATATTGTCACATTGTTAATCATCGCCCTAATGTTTCAGCATGAGCAGTAGGACCAGGAACTTCCATGATTTCCTACATACTGAAAGCAGTATGTAGACACACCCAGAGAGGACATTTAAAGTTAAGTGTGAACATCTGCTAGGGCAAGCCTTTAAACAATAAAGGCAACAATACAAAAGAATATGACCAAAAAGAACTGATGTTGAATTATGAGGGAGGTAGGTGATGAAATCCCCTGTAATTCTTTAGAACATAAAATATATATATATATATATAATATATAATAACATAAAAAATAAAGACAATCATCAATTTTTCCAGTAGCTCTGAAATACTGCGACTCATTCTGCACAGTGGGGATTGAGTAACTGCCTTAGGTATCATGATGGAGCAGTTTGAACAAATCAGAAGAACACACCATTTTGTGACTAGATCCTGGATCAACAGACCCAAAACTGTCAGGTTGTGCACGCATTCCCTCTCCACTCCAATGGTCAGCACAGGGCTATATGTTCTATGCAGTGTTCACCAATGACTGCAGTTTGTCTGTAACATGACTGTCATAGGGCTGATCTCCAGCAACAACAAGTCAATGTTTAATGAGGAGGTAGACAAATTACCTGGGTGGTATTTGGTTAACACCTCAACACCAAGAAATCCAAGAACTGATAACAGATATCAGAAAATCCAGATTTGGCAATCACATGAACTGTGAATTCCTCTCTGGTCAAAAAGGTAAAACAGTGCTTGTACACTGCAACAACACAATCATCCAAAGAGATCCCTGCCTCACAAAAGGCAAAACTGAGGACATCAACAATGACTGCTGTCCTCAGCATCATCACAAACCCAACGCAACTCAGTAATGTTCTGTTCACTCTCTTGCCATCTGGACTATACATGCCCAATCAATCAGCCTCAGAAAGAGCTTATTCCTCAGAGCTGTTGCCAAACTGAATACTACCTGCCACAACTAGCATAAAATGTTGCAGAATGCATTTAACAGACTGCTTGGAGCAAAAATCTGAGAAATTAAAAAATAGTAGTCATTTTGAATTGTACTGCACTTTAACATAAGTCCAAGAACATGCAGTCAGACTAAATGGCATTTCTAAATTTCCCTAAGTGCATAATTGTGTGTGTGTGTGTGTGTGTGTGTGTGTGTGTGTGTGAGATCATGTATATATTTCATTGTGGGGTCTAAATGTCTACACAATGTAATAAAAATCCTGTTATTCTGTCATTGTGGGAACCTTGATTTTATAAAAATCTGTGACAGCAATCAAAGCTAAAAATGCCACAGGTCTTGTATATTGATTTGGTTACTTATGGTATATATTTATATTTGTCAAAAATACACATTTATTAATACAGTATTTGTGAATCACATAAAAGCTTGTTTTTTATCTTTCTAATCTTTCTTGACATACAGTAATGGTTCGGAAACAATTTTACCTTCCCTCCCTATAATGCCAGTGCCAGTCTTTCAAAATGCAACACCTTGCAATACAGAAAAAAAGCAGCAATTTATTTAGTTTTTGAGCAGAATTTTGTTAACCATGCCTGAGATGTCAGAGCGGTGATAAACCTGGTTTAACATTTTATAAATTTCCAGCAGATCCAGAACAATGCAATAAGTGGGATGTAGAATTGGCAGCCCACTGAATACACATGTTTGTGTATGGTTTATAATTGTATGTATGAGCTATGTGATTTATTTATTAAAATTAGAAATTAGTTTAGAAATCAGTTTACAGTCAATTCAATGTGTCGCCTTTTTTCCATGTCCTGAATCTGTTGAAGAGCAATTCTATGGGAATTTTAAGTAAAAATGGAGCATTGAAGTAAAGAAATAATTAATTTAATTATATCATGATAATTATCAATATAGTTTGACATGGTGAAAAAATCATGATAACACATTTTATCATATTGCCCGACACACAAAACTCTCACCTTCTATTCAATTAGG